GGGGGGGGGGGGTTGGGGGGGCATAGGTATCGTGAATTCGTCTTGGAAGAAGGTAGTCATCGGTGTGGAAGAATGGGCAGGCGGGGGGAGGGGTCTTGAAGCAGTGAAAATCACAGAAGTTGATCGTCGAAGATACATGTACGCCGAACACACACCGAACAGTGTAGACTGGCGCCCAAAACATCTTGTACAAAGACGGGACGAAAATCACGCAATGGTGGTTGGTAATGTTGGTTGTGGTGGATGGTGGTGATGCCATCTCAAGACGACCACGACAACAACCAACAAGCGGCAACTGCGACCAAGCATGACGAGGAGGAGGAAGAGGAGGAGGAGAAGGACAACAACAACGACAACAACCTCCTACTATGTACTACTACTTCGAAGCACTACTTACCCTCGCGAAACCGAAGTACTTTGCGGGAGGGCCGGCCTTGACCTCAGCCGTCCTATCCCCCGGCAGCACCCTGCCCGTCAGCGACAGGCGCTTGCAGGTCACCAGCTGCCCCACCTGGCTCCTTGCCTGGCGGTTCTTGGCCATCCTCTCTCTCTTCTGCAGCATCTCCTTTCGTGCTTTGCCCTTAAGCTTCGAACCCTGTCAAGTGGTCAAAAAGGTACCAGGGAGTGCGTAAGGAATGGGGGGGGGGGGTGTACTCATAGTCGCGCATGCCGTAGTCGTTTGACCATTGACCTCGCATCCCTAGAAAGCCGGCGTGCTCTTCTCACCGGACCAGGCTCTCACATCACCAAGCGCGAAGCGCCGTGAGGTATTTGGCGAGTCGCATGAAGGGTGAGCTCCATCCTGCTAAGGGTGTTCGGCATCTTGTGCTTACTTCCTTGCGTACGGATGACAGCTACGTATGACTTAATTTATTTTCTGGTGCTTTCACTTCCAGAGACAGTTGTAAGCACTGTGTAACTGCCTCGAGGATGCTTGACCATTTTAACACAACGTGGTGCGATCATCCCCCTTGCGCGGAGTGAGGGTTCTCCACCCCGCACAACATGATCTACTCGACCACCATTCATGGTTACCGCCAAAAAAAAACGAGATAAAAAAAAAAACCGGTAACCTTTGCCGAGTTCCCGAAGTGAAATGGCTTGTTTTACAACGTCGTTGCCAAGCGACGAAAACCCAATCCCGATGGCAAACACCGAGGGGGGGGCTTGTTTTACAACGTCGTTGCCAAGCGACGAAAACCCAACCCCGATGGCAAACCCCGATGGCAAACAAGGCCGACGGGGGGCGTCATCGGGGGGGGGGGGGTCAGCCGGTGTGGCTTTGTACACCCTGTGACGGACACTTTGCTCCGACTTCGATAGAGGAAGAGGCGCCGGTAGATGTCACAACGCTTTTATCGGTGACCACAACGACAGTCAGTCGCTCTCTCGACTATCTCTTCCTCTTCACCTCCTCCTCCGTCCAGTTGTCGACTGAAGGAAGGGAAGATAGGCTACACCGAACGTACAGAAAAAGAGACGAAAAATAAATAATGACGGACAGAGTGCGCTGTTCGTTGTTCACGTCAGGCTACACCGCGGACTTAAAAAAAATAAAAAAAGACGGAGTGCGTTGTTTGTTGTTGACGTCAGGCTACTCACGTCCTCGGTGATCTCCTCCTCCTGCTCCTTAGGAGCCAGCGTGCCCCGGCAGTTTTCGGCCCCGCACATGCACTTGAACCGGGCTTTTTCGTTCGTGGAAAACTGCGAAAACCGCAAAAAAAAAAAAGAGAACAAAACACATGAAAAAAAAACGACGGGCAACTGACGACAAAAAAAAACAAGTGGATGGGGGCGTGTGCCGGGCGCGCGGGGAAGGTTTGGGGGGCACGCTACTCGGTGCTTGCGGTACCCATTGAGCGTACAACATGACACGCAAAGGCAACAACAACAAGCACGGTGTAAACAGGCTTCACAACAAAGCGGTAGACACCACTCACGGGACTCCGAAACACATCAGCCTGAACAAGCTCGCACGTATAAGCAACAACAGCAAGTAGAAAGCGGTTTCACAACAAAACGAAGTGGAACACAACGCTCGCAACTAATGAAAGTCTCAACATGAAGAGCCTCAAGTGTTCCTCCTGTTCCTCGAAGATCAGGTGGAGAAGGGCCAGAGCCCACAGACGCGATAAATAACGACATTTCCTCGAAAAAAAAACAAGACCTTCTCCTGTGTCGAGGAAGATGCTTCGATTGCTTCCAAGATGACTGCTGGGTACAAGGCGAGCTAGCTTGCCTTGTAGTCGTAGGAGAGGCTTTCCCCCTTGGCCAGGTCTTTCTTGGCGTAGATGCCCAACCTCGTGTAGCCCGCGATGTTCCACGCCTGCACGTCGCAGTTCGGGTTGCAGCTACATACACAACAAACACAGGACCGACACGCGCACAAAATGCGGAAGGCGGGGGTGGGGGGATTGGAAACTTTTGAACGGTTCTCCGAGTGATTGTGCACGATGAGCGGGGGGGGGGGACATGTCCACAAGTTCTGCATGTGGTTGTAGCGGTGTAGCGGCCAGTACAAGTCGCGAACGAATGAAAACAGTCGAGAGCATGAGATACAACATTAAGGCGCCATGATGGCGGGTAGAAGCAGTCGCAAGGTGTGTGGGCATTCCGACAGCTCCCGAACGATCTTGGCGTACGTAGCTGCGGCTTGCAAGGCGAAGCGAGAGCGACGATCGAAGCTCACGATCCACTCACACGCACTTGGGGGGGGGGGGGGGGCAAGTGGCACCAGTTCGCGGAGACGACGAACGCCCCAACTCCATCACCTACAGGAATACCACCATCAATATCACCACCACCACCACCGACATCACCGACATCACCCCCACGCCTAAACCAACATCACCAGCATATATCAGCAACATCAAAATCAGCAGAAAACACCACCATTTGCTCCCAATAGCAACAGTCAACATCACCAACACCACAATCATCACTAACCAGCAACGAACAGTCAACATCGCATCCCCCAACACCCCCACCACGACCGACCACCACCACCATCACCAATCCGGCCACGTGCGCATACCTATGGTTGATGAGGCGCATGAGGTTTCCCTTCTCCTTGGCGTCGATGAAGAGTGACTGGCCCAGCTCCATGATGTAGAACTCGCCGTCATTAGGCCGCAGGCGTCTCTGCTCCGCCATGCGGTGCTCTACCATCGCCTCGTCGATAACCTGCTCGCGAACAATCCGTCATTAGCAGCAGCAGCAGCAGCAGCAGCAGCGGTAGCAGCAACGTTAGCGACAGCGGTATACAGCAGCGACAACAACAACAACAGTGGCTTCCTTCAAGGGAAACATGGGTCGTTGTTGAAGGAAAAAGCACTCGGAGGATAGACGGTACACGTAGGTGCAACGGCGGTGAGCTACCTACATCATTCGAAAACGAGCGAGCGGGTCGATACTGTACCCACGAGGGGGGGAGGGGGGGGGGGGGTTCTTGCACACGCATGCCGCAAGTCTCTCGGTCATCGGCCTCGAACCCCTACACGCCGCCGGTGGGAGACCCCAGACATGCTGTACGCGTGCGTGCGTGGTTTCGTCCCATCTTTCTGTCCGCCAGTGCACGTACACTTTTCGGCGGTTACTTGCCAAAGCCAGCGGGAGATACTCAGGAGGACGGCACACCGTACACAAACAGGAGCATGTTTTGTTGTTGCGGGGGGAGCTTACTGCTATGTTAGTCCACCTAGGACAGGCACGTATTTATCAGGGGGGGGAGGGGGTGAACATGAAGTAGATATTTCTACGATTCTGATTTGTCTCCCAATATTCGCACGAGAAAAAATAAAGAGAATAGCCTCACCTCTCCGACGTATTCCCCAATGAGCGATCCCTTGGGGACATCCACGGCCACCTTGAGGCCCCAACCCATGCCAGCCTCGCGAAATGGTGCCACCTGACAACCAAAAGGAAATGGAATGACATACGGAATGAAATACGGGATGGCATGGAACGACACGGAACGCGCTAGAGCTGTGGTTTAAGAAAGACAGCAGTGTTTGTAATCAGCACAGCAATTGGCGGGTTGATTGCCTTTATCTTTTTTCCCGTTATTCTTCACAGGTGGAGAATACCGTGCCGTACCGGTCCGTGCCGTGCCGTACCGTACCATGTTTCTTTCGAGCTCCAAAATACGGTACACCTCCATGATGCCGTGTCGACTCTGCCATAATGGCCACAAAAAAAAACGATATATATAATATGCTAATCTCCGTCGTAGATGTCGTGTTGTAGTCCGCCAAAACAAGGGTGTCCGTCTCTCTCTACGTCCTTTCTCCAAGGCACAGCGCCACCAATAAAAATACTCAGAGCACCGCAGTCAGCCGTGAATCCAACAGCCACAATTCCTACTGGAACACACAATCTTAAATTCGTTCGATACATACAATCATTTGAAATACAAAACAACGCAACATAGGTTTTAACAGCGTCAAGGGATATCGGCGTAGCGTGATTGCGGTCGGTTACTACTCTGGGCAAGGCACCGAACCGGGCAGATCGGATGCAGGGCTCCGAGAAGGATAAAAGGACGAACGATCTCGGAGAGGATATATATATATTGCGTGCCCAAAACTGAAAAAAAAAAAAAAAACTGAAAAAAAAAGGACATTGCGTGTCAAAAACTGTAAAACAAAAAAAATACCCAAAACAACAACACAAACAACCCACACAAACTACGCAGATAGAAGAAAAATCGAAAAACAAAAAAAAATCCAACACACAGCACCAACCGTATGATCGTATTAATAGTGTGCAGTCGTGGCTTCGATATAAGATAAGATGGTGGTGTGACAAAGGCCGTCCGCCCTCTTACATCGGAGCCCCCTCTTGTAAGGTACAGTACTGGGGCCCTCTATAGTGCCGGTATGTGTCCATAGAAAAATCGGCACTATATCGGGCACCGGCATGGTTCAGGATCGAGCAGTATATAGGTTATACCAGCTCACATCCGTGTCAGTAGATTTTACCGGCTCTATACCGGGCACCGGCATTATTCAATCGGCACTATAGAGAATGGGAACCGTTCACCCGACGCACCTTAGCGTTGACCCTGTTTTGAAGGCGACGGTTGCCGCACCCGGCGCCCAGCTTGCAGTTCTGGTACCTGCGGTGTCGCGGGGGACGATGGGTGCATGGAACGGCGTGTGAGGCACGGTGTACAGCAGTAGACCATACGATCAGTCTCGAGAAGCTCTCAAAGCGTGACCATTGGTCAAACGATCAAGACAAGCAACACATGAGCACCCACCTATCCTTCACCGGGCTGTCGCCACACTTGGGAGGAATCCGCGTGCAGGCAGGTCTATGGTAACCAGTGATCACTACGGTAGACCTCGGCCGCATAAAAAAAACATCGAAAAACATCGCTACTCGTTTATCCCGCTGTGCTTTCTGTGTCATTTTCTCTCACTTCCAGAAGCCGGCACTCTTCTCTCTTTTCTCCCCCATCAATGTTTTGTATCATGTGTGCCAATTCATCAGTACGCCGGTATCTTCATAGTCTCATGAGAAAATTGCGCAAATACGCGACGCAGGCAATGTCCCGTGTCACGATTGTCACAAGTCTCTGCACCTGACTCCCTCTATCTCCCTCCCTCTTTCACACACCTCAACATGCCTGGATATATCAACGTATTGAGTACGTACCACGGCCGTAAAAAAAACAACTAAAACACTCACTTCGCACGGATCCCGTTGCCGCAGACGCATTCCGTTCGCAGCATGGCGTTCAAGCACGAGTCGCCGCAAACGCCTTCCGAGCAGTTGCAGGCCGGGGTGGGATCCACACGCGGCGGTCTGTTCGCCGCCGTCACGATTATTAGAAAAACAACAATGAAATACAAAAAGAGAGGAGGGCGAGGGAAACAATTGAAAAAAAAAAAACATCGTTGTGAAGAGAGGAGAATATTAAATAACAACAATGGAAAAAAAAAAACATGGAAGGAGGGCGAGGGAAACAATTGAAAAACATAAACCTGAATACATTAGTATGAAGAGAATAGCGACAGCGTAAATGCATACCCGAAGAAGTGCCACGAAGAAAACAACAACGCGTAAAAACTGTTTTATGATGCATAGTTTACGTATTCAAAGAGCAGAAAACCAGGGGGCGGGCAATAACGATCGCAAAATAATGCACGCGAAAGAGAAGGGGAGAGTGGTTAACTAGGAGGGAAAGTGGTGAACTAGGACGTTATATTTCCGGGGCGGGAGCAGAGACAAGAGGGCCACAAGAAATCTCAAAGAAAATAACCAAAGAACCAGCGGCTGGGCGGAGGCGAACGGAGGCAGATATTCTCGGCTATTTTGTTCTTGCCCAACGGCTATTTTGCCTTGGAACAGAAAAAAGAACATACCAGCAAGCGCCTTCGAGAGAAAACGTCACCAAAGAAACGCTTGGACCTAGTACCAGCGAGCGAACCGAGGGAAAATGTCAACAACAGAAGACGCCACGCGGAGTTGCGTTGCTGGAACAGAAACAGGGACATACCAGCAAGCGACGTCGAGGAGGACAAAAAAAAAAAAGCTACAGCAGCAGCGAGCTAATCCTTACTTCGGTGCGACGAACTGCATCGCACAAAGGTGCTGGAAGGGTGGCGGCTTGCTGTGGTAGGACGTCAGGATGCTCATCGGGAGGCGGAAGTGCCGGAGGTCGCCCTTGTTTTCGGCCCTGGAAAATGAGAAGCAGCAGTATCACACAACAATACGTAGCACGTGACAACAGAACACGGAGGTGGGAAGGAGGGTGGGAGGGGTAGGGAAAAGTGCTACCTCCACGAAATACCGCAAGAAGCACGTTCAGTACCCATACAGTAGGAGGTTTGCGTAGGTGACATGACACAAGATACCACACACCCTGGACCCATTTTCCAAGCTCGACTTCTCCACGGGACAAGAGGATGCCAACCTCAAGCGAAAATGGTGTGTGATAATACGTCATCTCCTGAAACTGTAACCTTCTAGTGTGGTCACTTGTCTAAATTGGCAGGCGCAACACAGGTAATTTGTGCGGCGAAAACAACAGCAACAACAACAACAACGACAACAAAAATAACAACAGCACCAAAAACAACAATAACAACAACAAAGACAACAACAGCAACAAAAACGACAACGACAACGACAACGAAAACAACAACAACAACAACAACAACAGCAACAAAAACAACAACAATCACAACAACAACGACAACGACAACAGCAACAGCAACAACCTCAACAAAAACAGCAACAACGATAACCACAACAACAACAACAACAACAACAAAAACAACAACAACCCAGCCTGATGATGTCAAATAGACAGGGACAAAATGGAAGGCTGAGGTGGCGAAGGCGGCACCAGTGAGACAGAAGGAAATAGAACATAATGTCGCGGTCGAAAATGCGCCTAACGTATAGGGGATCTTAGAGACGCGGAAAGACTTGAGAGAGTTCCGTGATGCTGGAAAACATAAACATCCAAAAAATCGACACCAATATCAACAACGCCACCGGCACCACCTCCAACATCGGCAACGTCAACAAACGAAAAACACCAACGCCAACACCATCTATCACCACCACCACCACCGTCATCATCCTGCAAGAGGGCTCGCGTATTCAAATGTTGGAAGCACTCACACAAACTATATTGTAAGGGCCAAATGGACAGAGGAGGGATCTCTTATATACCCTATATGGTGTTCAACTAGGATTTAGTGCGGTATAGTATAACCTACATATTTTTATTGTATAGGATTTAGTATGGGTATACATAAACTTATACACCTCTTACTACCGTAAACACAAAATATACCACACCCACATAAGAAACCACACAGAAAACCACACCCCGGTGATATTTTGGGCGTTTTGTACGAACCAGCGAAACATCACCCGGGCTACAAAAGAAAACACACCCCGGTGATCACACCGCATACTTTCACGGGGTCCCTCCTTCTATCACCGGGGTGATACAGCATCTGCCCCGTGGGTATCACACACAACACACATACACCCCTGTGTGCGGGGAAACACCCCGTATGGCGACCTCCGAGAAGATGAAAATGCAGGGAGAGCAGAATGCCGCTGCAAGTGCCTCCGCTTCTTCGACAACTGCTTCGACCGCAGCAGTGCAGGCACGACAGATCACCTCGTTCTCTCGACCGGACCCAACTTCTTCGACACAAGCGGCTGCTGCTACGTCTCACCCTCCGATTCAGCAGGAGGAGGAGGAGGAGGAGGAGACGTCGACGCAGCGCTTGTGTAGAAGAAGTTTGCTCGGGTCTAAAGAACGAGGTGATCTGTCGCGCCCGCACTGCTGCGGTCTTCAACAGCAGCAGCAGCAGCAGGAGGAGCCGTCGCAGCAGCCGCTTGCGTGGAGTTTGCTCAGGTTGAAAGAAGGAGGTGATCCTGTCGTGCCCGCACTGCTGCGGTCGAAGCAGTTGTCGAAGAAGCGGAGGCACTTGCAGCGGCATTCTGCTCTCCCTGCATTTTTCATATTCTCGGAGGTCTCCATACGGGGTGTTTCCCCCGCACACAGGGGTGTGTGTGTGTGTTGTGTGTGGTGCTCACGGCACAGATGCTGTATCCCCCGTGAATGTATGCGGTGACATCACCGGGGTGTGGTATCTTCCGTAGTTTACACACGTCTGAGTATATAGTAGTGTTTAGACCGCTAAACTACAGCCTACACAACAAGTAATATTATACCCAACACAAGAAGGAAGAGGAGGCTAGCCGACAACGAGCGCTCAAACGAAACAAGAACCCCGACAACAACACGGACACGACAACAACCACGGGGGTGGGAGGGGTACAGTAGGCGGACGAGACGGCGAGGAAAGGCAGGAAACGCGAAGAGGCGCACCCAGTGGCGCGAAACACCGTGCCGAAATGAACCTCTTGCTTGACTTATCTCCCCCGCCCCCCCCCCCCAGCACTGCACCATTGCACCAACCCCCCGCGAGCGATGACGTGCATGGGCTGGCTCGAGTGGCCCGCTTTGTCTTGTGTTGTTTTTGTGCTTGTTCTGTTTGTTTGTTTGTTGTTTGTCGCTTAGGCGTGTGTCTTTCTCTTTCACTTTGCATCTGCTCTATTCCCTTCTTTTTCTTTTTCTTTTTCTTTTTACTTTTCTTTTCTATCCTTTTCCAATCTAGGGTTACCTCGCATAACGTGCAAAGAGGCGAGCGGAGTGGCCTAGACTATCTGTCGTTGACTTTTATTGGCTTGCGGACCCTTCGGGTCCCTTTTATTTTCGTATACCTTTTTTGGGGAAATTAACCTTTGATCCCGGGAATCG